TTTATGGCTGTTTTGTATCTCTGAGGGATTTTGTGTGTCTTTGTGGTAATTTTGTGTCTCTTTTAGTCATTTTCCATCCTGTTACTTGCTTTTTGTAGTCACTAGGTGTCTTTTTTAGGTAATTTTGTGTCTCTTTGCAGTTGTTTTGTGTCTTTTTGCAGTTGTTAAGCATGTTTTTGTGGTAATTCTGTGTCTTTTTTGGTTGTTTCATGTCTCTTTGTGGTTGTTTTGTGTCTCTGAGGGATTTTGTGTCTCTTTGCAGTTGTTCAGCATGTCTTTGTGGTATATTTATACCTCTTTTAGTCATATTGTGTCTTGCTGTTTTGTGTTCTTTGTAGTCGTTACGTCAATCAATCAATCAATTGTATTTATAAAGCCTAATATCACACATCACAATTTGCCTCACAGGGCTTTACAGCATATGACATTTGGACCCTCGCAGCGGATAAGGAAAAACTCCCCCAAAAAACCCTTTAACTGGGAAAAAAATGGTAGAAACCTCAGGAAGAGCAACTGAGGAGGGATCCCTCTTCCAGGACGGACAGACATGCAATAGATGACGTACAGAACAGATCAACATAATAAGTTAACAGTAATCCGTATGACACAATGAGACAGAGAGAGAGACATGTTATGTGTCTTCTTTACGTAATTGTATGTCTTTGTGACCTCTCGTGCCTTTTTGTGTCATTTTGAGGCTTGCTGGTTGCTACATGTTACTTTGTGTGAAATTTTGCAGACGAAGGCCAGGGGGGCCCTGACACTTTGAATCCCTTGGCCTGTGCCTGGTAGGTTCGTTCAATAATCCATCTATAGTTAAGGTTCACCCTGAAAACTGCTTGTTGAGTGCTATGTAAACTTGGTGTGAAGTTAAACACGCAACACAAAACACAAAAGGGTAGTTAAAGATGTGTCAAATCTAACTTAAGCTATTCTCAACAACAGAAGAGACAGAAAAAATACCACTACAATAGTGGAATTATTGAGAAATAAATAGAGCAGAAAACGCTCCAGGAGGCAAACTACTAGCCTGCCTTTAACCACTGGGGGGAGTGGTTGGCACAACTGAGCTACATGTTTGTTCAGATATCTGTCTAATACTTCACTTCGTAAAAACAGATCTGATATAAACTGGATCAGTTGTATCTGCGTGATTGAGCACCTGCTTTTACTGTGGTGCTCTAATAGATCTGATACGGTCTCCAGGAAGGGAGGCTGACATTTTCTCTGAGTGTCTGACCCAGGACTGATCTTGGTTACTATCCTGAGGTCTGGAGACAGCTGCAGAGCAATGCTGCCAAGGGGAGCAGCTATCATTGGTAACCTCCAGCAGCATTGATAATGGCAGCGTTGCCTTTCTAGCAGGGGGACGATCCAGCTTCTATCAACAGGTTTAAAGGCTGTCAATGCCCCAAAGGAAAATACAACATAGTTAAAGCAAGTTCACGTCTACTGAGACTCTGTGTGTGGTAGAGATGGAGGTGTTTGTGTTTGTTTGGGAGATTGTTTTTCAATCTATTTTTAAACTTAATTTAAGTTAAGATTAGAGTGAGTTCAGACATGTACGTATAAAAAGAAAGATAATGACCAGGAGGGAATAAGAGAACAGAGAGATGGTGACAATGTGAAGGACAGACCCAAAGTCACACTTGATCAGAGGATTCATAAATCAAATGTTTCAAAAAATTTATGATGGTTCATAAGAATTGACTTTTAAGTTAAGATCAAACTTGTCAGTGTCTCCCATGAGCATAGACCTCATTTTATACACTTTAACTAACCAGACTAGATTTTGGAAGTTCCCTTCACCCAATAACTGTATCTACAGTAATTACAAGGATTTCATGTAGAAACCACAAGAAAATATCCTTCAGTTCAAGCCAGGCTGCAGGAAAGTTCTTTGACTTTGTTTCACCTGTGCAGTGTGTGATAAAATACTCCCAACTATGATTAACTTGAGTATTAAAATCAACTAATATAAGGAAGAAAAATGCAGGAAGAATTCACAAAATGTTGGGGTTCAGTATCTCTAGAAATGTTTTCAGGTTCAAAATCCATTTAACCAACAATACAGTCATGCTACTATTGTGAGATTGTACTCAGACACAGTGGTGTTTTGTGACAAATGCTAACATCACCATGCTAGCACGCAGATGTTAAAGGGACAGTTCACCCCAAAATCAAAAACACATATTTTCTTCTTACCTCTAGAGCCGTTTATCAGTTTAAAGCGTTGAAGATATCAGTTGTAGTGATGTATATCTTCTCTCAAATATAATGGAACTAGATGTCACTCAGCTTGTGGTGCTCAAAGTGCCAAAAATACATTTGAAAAACTCAACAGCAACGTCTCTTTCCAGAAATCATGATGACCCACTTAGTCAAGATAATCTACAGACCTTGTTGTGAGCAGTTTCATGTAGGAACTATTTTCTTCCTACCAAACTACACCTTTCAATTGTATCACCATGCAGAAGGAAGCACCCATCTACTGCTAGCTAACCTAGCACCACTGAGCTAGCTAATGTTACAGCTCAGCCAAGGAGGACGCCATTATTATTTACATCTCACGCTGTCACAAGCATGAGCCTCTTGTCCTTAGTAGATGCACGCTTCTTTCTGCATGGTGATGCGGTTTGTGGGTGTAATTCAGTAGAAGGAAAATAGTCCCTACATAAAATTGCTCACAGCAAGGTCTGGGGATTATGATTGCTGTAAAGAGACATTGTTTTATCATTTATGGACCCCACAAAGAGTAGCTGTTGCCTTGGTAACCATGAAAAGGGATCCAAATAAACAGTAAAACAATGTTATATCCAGGAGAGGGCAGAAATCTCTACTGTCGATATTTCCAACACTGAGCAGCTCACACCAAAAAAATCTACACTGTTAAATAGCACCACAGGGAAGAAGACAAATATTTTTATCTAAATTCTTGATTTGGGGGTTAACTGTCCCTTTAAACGATGTAATGTTTACCAGCTTAACTTATTAGGTTTGTTTCTGTGTGTGTTAAATGTGTTGGTTCAGACTCTCCACAGCTGTCATTACATTGAGGAATCTGACTGGTTGTAAGAATGTGGGGTCAGATTCCTCTGGATCAAGGTAAATGTGTGGTGGAATGAAACCAAATCTGCCTTTAAAGAGAGATTTCATCATGTGTCTGTGAATTTTTTATCAACCATTTCACACACCCAAAAAAAATGTTAATAATGTTTGCTTTTCTTGTGTGTCTACACTCTGTATCGGTTTTTATACAAGCAAGCATGGGTCCCCTCTGTGTTTCAAAGTGTTTGTCATTCAGTCAACACTGTGGAATTAGGACATATGCAGACACGCATGCTGTTTATCCAGAGCATAAGCATTTATCCAGAAGGCTCGATGATGACAGCCTAGAATGTCTCCAGATCCAGAGGAGCTGGCAGGATGCACAGCACTTAAAGGGATAGTTCAGATTTTTTGAAGTGGGGTTGTATGAGGTATTGATCTATGGTCATTGTATTACTTACAGAAGATGACAGTCAGCATGCTCCCAATTTGGAGAAGCAGGCAGGGGTGCAACTACAGAAGCTAAACAATGAGCTCCTGTGGATGGGTGAAGCAGCAAAAAGTATTTTAACCACTTAAAAAAAGGCCTACTCAAAAAAAAATGATTATGTTTAAGTGTATGCTATATTAAGAGTATTTCCACTGCTTTACCTTTACATCTGACAGCCCTTTCCTTTGGCACTATGCTACGTCAGTACAACACTGCACTCCAACAAAAAACACACATGGTTGGGTTTAGGCAACAAAAACACATGGTTAGGTTTAGGAAAATAGACAGGGTATGACTCTAGACGCCACTTTCCCTGGTGAAAGTCACCTGCCCTACTCAGACTTTCGCCACCTTAACTTTTGTTTTTGTCCCACTGCATTTCCCCCTGATGCCGCTGAGGGCCATGACACTATAACGGCGACCAGGCGTGTATCATGTCGATGTTGACGGACATCTTTTTTTGTCTGTGTCGCCGCAAGTCACTGCCCAAACGCCACATTTTGACGACTTCGGAGTGAGACCGGGTTGTCTGTAAAAGTTCTTCCTTTGAGTACTCTGGTTCATGAAGGTATCCTCTTGTCTTCACAGTGAAAGGCATTTTGTTGAATCACTCAGTATTTTTCATGTATTTATTGTCTTAAACCGTTGAAAGTCTGACCCACACAGCTGATCTGTGGCGTAATACCTTGCGCGACAGTTGTGTTTATGTGTAAATACGGATGTTCTATGGTTGAGAAAATGTAGTACAAAAGGAAAGGGCTGTCTGACAGCAAGGTTAAGCAGTGGGAGTATTCACAACATAGCATCCACCTAAACTGAGATTAATTTTTTAGGTGGCTGTCCACAAGAATGCATTGCCTAGCCTCCATAGTGGTAGTCTCCTTCTCCAAACTGGGGGGGTGCTGACCATCATGTACTGGAGGTAATATACTGACTATGGTTAAGGACCTCAGACAACCACTTCAAAAATCTAAACTATCCCTTTAAAGACTAACCATAAGTCAATCCACTCGTACATCATTTATTTTCATCGGCAGCCCTTGGTGTAAATCAAAAGATATTTGGAAGTACCTAATCATGAGCGGACTGTCCTACCATGGCAGGTCGAGAGTCTGAGATTTGAGCGTCTGGGTGTGACCTGACTAAAGGTTACCAATGACCTCAATGCTGTAAAGCCAGATATGAAACAGTGCCATTTGGATGTTCTCAATGTTAACTTTCCCTCGGTCTACAGAGAAGCAGGCAAAGCAGCAGAGGTGGTGGTGGTGTCCTATTTTTGGAGGGGCTATCAGCGACCCAGCGGCACAGGTCTGAGTGACAGGACAAGTGTTGCGTTGGACCCTCCCCTCGCTCATTTGGGGCAGGCATTCCTCAGTGTAAGCAGACACAGACCCCCCTCCTCCCTCCCATCATATTTCTCTCTCCTTCTCCCCCTCTCTCTCGCTTGGCTGTGATGGTTGGCCCACTCTGGCTATGGGTGGGCGCACAGGAGTGTGTGTGTGCATGTGTGTGTGTGTTCAGGTGTGAGCGTCTGCCTTGGAGCTGGACTCAGAGAGAAGTCAGCGTCTGGACAGTGTGGCAGGCAAAGAGAACGTCAGAGCTCTCTGAGGGGGCCCTGACCGCTGACCATGTGGCCAACACACTGAGGGCCCCCCAGATGAAAACATAGGAACCAAAGAGGAGCAAATCACCAATAAAAAGAAGAAAAGCTTAAAAAGACAAAGAGAGCAGAACAATGGTTGCAGAGGAAGTGATAATTACATTGTCCGGTGGAGCGCCGTGGGGCTTTCGTCTCCAGGGAGGCGTGGAACATCAGAAACCACTCCAGGTGGCTAAGGTAAGGCGGCTCACTCAGCAGGTTGGACAGAAGCAATAATTTCTTGGTTTGCTGATTGGAAAAAAGAAAACTGTGTTAGATTCAACAGCTGCAGTAAAGAGAGGTGAAACATCAGATGGGGTATATCAGATGGAGATTTAAGAAGCTGCGAACACAGTAGAAAATGGAAAATTGGCTGTGATGCAGGTTGGTTTGGGGCCTGAATATGAGTCATCATCTTGTTTGAGAACGGTCTTCATACAGAGGCGCACCAGTGATTGATTGTGTGAACTTCACACTTCAAGTTCAGCTTCAAATGTAGGGCAGCCTTGTCGCATATCTTCCACTGGAATGCTGCTTCTCTAATTTAACTGCATGATGCTCAAAGTTATGTGTGATAATGACCAGAAAATCTTGTCTACATTGCGACAAAAAACTTTGAGCTACCTACTGGCGCTGGTCCTCAGTAGTGCTTTAAGCAGCTAAGCGTTAACATTTTTGGTTCTTAAAGGTAATTGTTCGGTTTAACTTGTCATGTGGGGAGCTTATGGATGCTACACACCATTCACTCATCACCATGTGCTGATTGCCCTGGTCAAAAAGCATGTTTCCACTACGTCATCATTTCAGTAAGAAACTCAAATCACATCAGACATGCTTGGTCATCTATAAGCTGTCAGGTTACCTGAGATTTATCTGGAAACACTGTTGTAACAGTAGAAACCATACAGGTGAACAATGGATGTCATTAAAGTCCGGATCTAGGTCAGTTCTTGAAATCAGTGTGGCTCAGGCTAGATTGGTGTCTGTGATATAAAATACTGAAATTAATGGCTTCGTGAGAAATACAGGCGACTTTTATAGATGTTCTTGTATAACGAAGTTCACTGAAATAAAATGTTAACTGGGTAAAGGAAATATTTAACCTTACGACTCTCAGCTCATTTTACTCCGCTAAAGCAAATTCTTCAAGGACAAGAATTTGGTGACCACATTTTGGCACCGGTGAAGCGGTCCAGATTTGAATCTTGATCTCCATTTGAGAAAGCAGAGATTGACATGTAAGCCAAAGAGGAATATAAACTGGATAAAGGGATTAATTCGGCTTTAGCTGAAAAATTAGTCCCTCTGGGAGGAGGTGAGACTGAAAATGGTTGGGAAATAGAGTAAAAACTCAGGTAACACTTTAGCTACATTTTCTAACTTCATATTGATCCTCTGCCAATTGTATCGATTCAGTTTCATGTCATCACCGTCTGTGACATGAGTAAAGATCATCGATCCACAGTCGTCACTGTCTCAACCTTGTCCTTCCTGTTTAAAGAGACTTGGGCCAACTCTCTCCTCCATGACACCTTTATATATAGAGATCTTATTTCTGGGTAGTTCAGGTTTGAACACACCTGCACACTCATGCGTACATGTACACACATGACACATATCCACACATATGTTCAATAACTGTTGACTGAGCAGAACTACTTTTCCAGGAGGCTATTTTTGGTTGAGAAGCAGCAGGTCACGAGGTCAGCCAAGGTGTGTGTTTCAGCTCAGTGCTCAAAAATTAACCTCATACACTATTTTTATACATGTACCGTCAGTATCTTGCTGCTTGGAGCAGAACGATTAACCTCTTTAAGGAGGGTAAGAAGAAAGGAAATGCTGATTGCTAAACCTCTGCAAAAAAGCTGGTATTCTTCAAATAATGTGTGAGAGAGGTCGGACGTGATATTACCAGCCAGACAATATTCTGTTAGTATACTTGACTTAAGCACTTGACCTACAGTCTTTGAGCAGATACATAGCAGTCTAGCCAGTCTAGCTTTAAGCTGAGCAGAGAGACAATTGTTCCAAGCACTGATTCCATACTACATAACATATGTCCTCCATATTGTTCCTGCTCAGGCACCACATCAGCTCTGAATACATGATCAGGAGAGAGAAACCAACTAGCTTTTTGTTTTATGATGTCTGGTTTGTCATTCTTAGTATTTTTCTTTTAAATCTTTCTTATCTATGTACCTAATAAATATCTAAGATGATTACGTACCTATCTAGCACCACCCTGAGACAATTACTGGCCCCATCCTCTTTTCCACCACTAGCAAAAACAATTGGAGGCCAACATTTCTGCCTTTAATAAGCTGTGGCACGCTAATTTTTTTAAAGCTAGCGCAAAGGTAATGATATCTTGTGAAATGCAACAACCTAAGGCATCCATTGGCACCAATCATGTTGGCATAGCTTGTCACAAAGGGGGCTACATAATAGGACAAATTTAGGCTAAATTTTAGGAAGGGAACAACTGGCATGGCCATTTTCAAAGGGGAACATTAAACTTTCACTTCAAGTTATCTTGATGAAAATGGGTTCTATGGGTACCCATGAGTCTCCCCAAAACTTAAGACTTGTTCCCAGTAAATATTTTGTTCTTTACAATCAATGTACTCAAGTTAAGGTTATTTATTCATTCATGTATGGAGAAGGAAAGCCAGACCAACCAAAGAACAATGAATCACCTAACATGTATAAATAGATAACACATTAAAACAGGATTGTTGTGGAAGTCAAAATGTCAGCTGTACTGGTATCAGTCTAGTCTTAACTGTAAAATAAAAAACCAAAGTTGATCAGAATGCAATCCTTTAACTCTCCATACTGACAAAGTCTTCAACTAGCCTATATACTACAACCGCATAATAGAATTCCTGAAATTCAGTTAAGGCTTTTAGTTTTTGTGTGCCACCCCAATGTCCCCATCTGGCCACCCCTATGACAAATTTACAGTATGGGGGTGCTTCTGCCTACATACCTCACAAAATCTTTATGGTGAAACCTGTCTCACGAAAACTCCCTTGTGCCAGCCAAAGCGGCGCCTTTACTGGCTAAGAGGCTAATTTTTGGGCTTTGGGTCATGCACCTCTATGGTATACCTCTGAGACAATCCCAACATTCATAAAACAACCACTTCTTATCAACAGTATTTAGCACCTTTAATAATGTTTGCTCTTTAAAATGTTAATCCTACATGTAGTTGACTTGTGCAGAATGTACACAGAGCCACAGGACACCAAATCACCTTTATGGCGGTGGACAACAGCTGCCTCTGTTTGACTATCCAAAACAGAGTGCTCCTTCACCCCTGAGACCAGGAAGGAGTAATCTTGTCAAGTCTAATGCTATACCGTCCCTAACAGGTGGAGCCGTCTGGGGCTTCACTGAAAGAGCTGGTGTGTCAGTGCTGGGTTTGTGCCTGTGGGCCTGCATGCGCGTGTTTGTGTGTTTATTTATACAAGTTTATGTGTATTTTTGTATCAGTCCATGTGGTGTGTGTGTGCGTGTGTCTGTGTCTGTGTGTGTGCGAGCATGTAAGGGTATTATAACTGTTATGACATGAGACCACAAGGTGACTGACTGAATGAATAACTGACATCCTGTGCCACAAGCAGGCACAGGCCACTTTGAAAGGCTTAGCTAAATACGGATGTGGGATTTCATTACAGGCAAGTTACCAGAATAGCTGTAAAGAAAACTTATTAGGTCAACCAAAGCACCATTTCCTTATCTCTGAAATCTAGCATACAATATTCATTTGATACATGACAGTGCCCCCACAGAGTGCAATCGACACTGCAGTCATTGTCTTTGAAAATCTTCAAACATCTGCTTTGAATTTATTACGGGACATGTTGACGTGGCTTGCAAAGACCTGAGGCAGTTTAGGGTGGGCATAACGCCATGGTCCTGACAGACCTCATGCACAAATAGCAAAGCACCAAATGAAGATGGCTGCTGGCTGGCATTTCCCTGTTAAAGTGTGTATAAGTGCCCCACTTGAGCTGCAATATGTGGCATATGTCCACAGCAAGATCGAACTGTCAGGACAAAAGCTGCTCTCTGTCAGTCACTATCACAAACCAAGACAAGACAGAGGGCAGAGCTCTGTCAGACTTTTATTTTCTATCCCTGTGTTACAAAAGCCAAACATACAATTCTGAGGTAAATAATGAAATAGCAATGAACGAAAGACAGAACAAGCGTAGCGTTTGGACTAGTGGTCTTAATATCCTCTTTTAAGTTTCAACTGTACTCAGCTCTTCAAACCAAATCTGTAGACCTAGGGCTTGACCTTTAGCTTCAAGTGATATTTGACATGATAAAATCCTGGAACAATAGAGTGCAACATAACAAAATAAATTCTCCCAACACAGAACTCAAAAAATGTATATATGCCCTTCTGTTTAATCTCCAGAATTCAGATGTGAAAAACTTGAGGCTTGACTCGAGATGTGCCCTTGAGACATAAAAGAGACCTGGGTGTCTCTTGAAGGACACTCGAGTTGTCATGGATTTGTTCCAAAAATCAAAAAAAAAAAAAAAGATTGGCTTTATATTGTAAATATTGTGTGATATAACCCACCAACATTTTCGTAACCTTTGTCATCAATTTTATCCCTCTTTGCTTGTGCAGGTGCGTAAACGCAGCAAGGCATGCAGGGCTGGGCTTCGAGAGGCTGATGAACTGGTGTCCATCAACGATCAGCCATGTGGAACGCTATCTCATGCCCAAGCCATGGACCTAATCGACAGCTCCCCTGGGATATTACATATCCGGGTAAAAAGGTCAGAGGAACAAAAGAATTATTCTCTTACTAATGATAAACCATCATCAACCCATCGTAATTGGGTAAGAAAAAAATTTTATTATGCTCAAATCAAAGAGTCAAGTCTATGAAAATGTATTGTATCAAACACATATACTACTGCATATTACATAACATCCTACTCACTGTAAGAATCCAGATTTAGGAAGTTACATTCTAATGTTACATCCAACAGCCCTCATTTGGCCCCATCAATATTTAAACCATTCACTTGTTTGCAGGGTGCCTGCTGGTTTTCAGTCCGTGGTGCTTGTGACCCGTGCCCCATCCCCCCGTATAGACAAAGAGTACCGCGCTGCTCTGCGTGTCATTTCACCCAACAGCCCCCACCATGCACCCGTCCGTGAAGTCCACCGTAGCCGCTCTTCCACAACCAGTGGCTTGACATCTCCACCTGGTAGTGAGGCGTACTACGGTGAGACTGACAGTGATGCAGATGTGGCGGGCTATGAGAGACAGCGCCGGCAGAAACGCCGCAGCCCCAGCAACTCCAACCCGGGGAAACCAACAGGACGAGCGTCTCCTGAGGGTGGCGAGACATCAGAGATGAGTGGCTATGACAGCGCTCCAGATGCACAGGTTTTCCCCAGTTTGATAGATGGACGTGGGGGAGATGGAGATGGAGAAGGGGGGCTGCCGGGGGTGGCACGGAGGGAGGTGATTTACCAGCCTCCTGGTCCAGGAATGTGGTCCTCCCAGACATCCACTGAGACCTCCTCCATCATCTCCTCAGCAGATGACCAGGGGCCACGGGATGCAGGGCAAGAGGAGGATAGTGGCTTTCTAGAGCCAGCTAATGTGCCGCTGGTGTCCCCTGAGAGGGCAAAGGAGGCCCTGATGCTGAGCTCCCGCAGCCAGCTTGTGCCCATGGTGGGTCCTGTGAATAAACCCGTTGATGAGGAGCTTACAACAACCTACATGGAAAAGGCCAAACAAGCCAGTAAGTACAGCTGAGGAAGAAGAAGAAGAAATATGTGCATCATGTGGCTTCCCCAAGCTTATGTAAACATTCCTGATAAAGGTCACTGGTTGGTTTAAGAATCACAAAACTTTTTCCACAAACAGATAAATATATATGTCATTAGGTGAAGTCTTGTAGCAAATACAGATTCTTTCATTTCAGATCTTTTTTTTATCAGGGATGCTCCTCTTGATTCTGTTTAATGTTCTTTTCTATGTATTATGTCTATGTGCCATCTGCTTTGCAGCACAGAAATACACCACTGAAGTGAAGATCAGCTGTTCCCATACACAGGAAGAAAAGTTCTTATATGGCTTCATATGCCAACGTAATATTGACTTGAGATTATATGTACAGTACATGCCTTTGTTGAAGCTCAAGACAAATATGCCCCTGAAGCACTCAGAGAAAACCTAGATATTTGCAGAGGGTTCAGCAGTAAGTTCAAGTCTCCACACCTTGAACACCAAACTGATAACGCCACCCACGCTCCCTTCTTTGTTCACATTTTGTCTCTAAACCAAACCTATAAAAGAGTCAACTACTGGTTTAAAATAGCCTTTTAGAAAGTTAAGACAGAATATGTATCTGCAAAAAGTAAACTTAGTTTTGCAACAAACCCGTCCCTATTTAAAAATATGTATTTTCAATATTAATCCTACAAATAGACAGAGCTATGTTTTAATGCAGTTCAGTACATTTTCTTGCCAACTGATACCTGAAAATTAAACTGATAAATATTTATTAAAGTAATAGGAATAGTGTTTCAGTGCTTAATCTTTAAACTGAATCTTAGTAAAGACAATCATTAAGTGCTAGTCATTCAATCTGACAGTCAACCACCTCAACCAACCAACAACTACCAGTAAAGGTATACTGTGCACACAGGCCTGAAATACACATGCACGAATAGAACCTACATGCATTAAATAGAGAGATGTCAGAGCGAGCTAGCTGCCCACAGACAGAAGCCCACAGCAGTTGGGGGTTTGGTGCCTTGCTCAGGGCACAACAGCAGTGCCCAGGAGACGAACTGGCACCTCTCCAGCTACAAGTCCACACTCCACACTTGGTCTGCACTTGAACTGGTAACTCTCCTATTCCCAAACCAAGTCCCTATGGACTGAGCTACTGTTGTCCCAAAACTGATCTACTGCCGCACCTGTAAAGTATCAAAGTAATCCATTTCAGTTATCTCTTAAGACCAACTAAAAGTATTTGCCAGTTTATTTATCTGCAGAGACACTGCCCTCTGCCTGTGTTTTCTTATTTCTTCTTATTTTGCTGTGTTTGGGACGTTCCTAGTTACAGTGCACAGTTGAGGTTGGGTCTTTATAAATAGGTAGCAACCAGGCGCCAGACCATGAGCACCATGGATCCAAGAGGAAGCTACAAAAATCACAGTCTCGGCACAGAAAAAACACAAATATAGCGAGGCAAAATACTAAGCAGACACAGCTGAGGTTGGCTTTCACTTTTACTTTTGTTTGGAAACAGTAGCTGACAATTCCTGCATAGTATACCTTTAAAGTTAGCAGTCTGGTGTGAGTGGGTGGCCTAAGCTAAAGCTGTTAAACAGAGCATGGCCAACACAGTTTACTATATTTACCTCCAGTTATGTGTGTAAAAACCCCAGTGATCAACGTGGGAGCACTGAAAAGCATCTACAGCTGTTTTAAGGTATCAAGTAGCAAAGCAGGAATACTCTCATTTTCCCTTCCCCTTTCTACATATCTTCTCTCGCTAACCAATTCTCATTCTTTTGATATTTTATCAACTTCAATAAAGACAGCAAGTGTAATGTGTTTTGTATCACTCAATATTCTTCCAACACATGGATGATAAGGTAATGTGTCACAAATATAAAAGGGAACATGGAACAGTCACCTTGACTGGCAGTTGAAGATGGTTTGTGTATCTAAAATGTCACAAAAGAAAGCTGGTGTTTCACAGTGTTTACCGTTTATCATAATGTGTCTTTTCTAGTTATTGAAGGCTAAAAAATCAAGTCAAGTCTTACGATTTTTGGTATTTACAAACTTTGAAGAAAGATCAAAAACTGCAAAAATACACAGAGCACTGACACTTGCAAGAATTCCTTCCTACAACTTGTCATCCTGTTCATCATCCATAATAAGCCCAGGAAGAGGACAGAGCTGGGCTATTTGAAGTCAATGGGCTGTTTTAAGAACTCAAATAAATTCACTCTTGTAAATCCCCCTTGCCATCACCGAGTACAGGTTTAAAATTCCAATGTCCTACTTAGGAACCTTGTCCTAGACAAATTAAGAATTCCCTTCACGTGGCAATGCATATTAGGGTAACGGAATTAGGTTGCCTATGATAATCTGCTTAATACCATAACAAGTTAAAGCATATGTTGTGACTGCCCTTTGAAGTTCTCCTTCCAGTCACCTACGATGTACAACTTTCCACTAGCTTGCAGATATTTCTAGTTAAGTTAGATGTCAGAGTACATAAGACTAATAATGTGCAAATTTATCCTTCACCCCAGCTAATGTGAGAAGCTGAAGGCTTGCCTGGAATTTTCCCGGAAGTGCTCCTGTGGCATATTAAGAGATGGAAGCCTGTTGAAGGCATGGTGGTCAGGACAGGTTTAGATGCTCATGTCAGAGTCAGTTCTTGGTTTAAAGGTTAAACCTATTAATTTAGACTTCGCTGACCTTACTGCAGTATTTGTGATATGCTACTGTGCAACTGTTCCTAATAGCTATGGCTTTCATACTCTGCAGAACTGAACAGAGGGGATACTCAGCAAGACAAGCAAGTAAAGGAAGCCAAAAGCAAGTGTCGAACAATTGCGTCCCTACTAACTGATGCTCCCAACCCTCACTCCAAGGGGGTGCTAATGTTCAAGAAGAGGCGGCAGCGCTCCAAGAAGTACACCCTCACCAGTTTTGGTAGTGTGGATGAGGACAGGTGTCAGGACTCACAAGAGGAGGATGGGGTATTCCCTGGAAGCGAATCAGAGTTTGATGAGGATGGCTTCTCTTCAGTTCCTGACCCAACTTGGGATAGTGACACCTTGGATATGCTGGAGAAGAGGGCAACTGCGGGCACTGAAGGTCGTGGGGATGGGGCAGAGGATGCTCCAAGTCCAGGGTTGAGTGACACCGCAGGCAAGGGCGCCCAGCTGTTTGAGCAGCAGAGAAAGAGGGCTGCTGAGCATGCCAAGAAGGTAGAGGCAGCCCAACCTCATGCTCCTCCGCCATCTCAAATCCAGGAGCAGACTCAGATTTTGCATCCAGAGACACAACCACAGATACAGCCAAACCTCCAGCCTCAGCAGATGATACCACCCGGCCCTGTAGTAACACAGCAAGAGCCGCCTCAGGCTCCAGGCCCCGTTGCAGCCTATGGAATAACTATTGGGGACCTATCCTATTCTGCAGTTAGTACAGCTAGCGTGATGATGTCACCTCCATCTACAGCACCAAAACCAGCCACTTCCTCTGTGACTGTTCTAACCAGACCTGCCCCACCAGCTGAAACGCCACTACCAGAACTACCTGCTAGTAATGTTCTCAACAGAACGGCACGGCCTTTCACACCTGGCTTCATCAGCATTCGTGCTGCGACTGCCCCTGTAACGTTCCGACCATCCGTCTCGAAGATGAGCCAGCGTCCTGCCTCAGCGGCTGTTGTGCCACCACCATTCTCCACTGTCTCTGAACTAGCGATGAATGCTACATCAGTATCGGCACAGCTACCACCTGGTCCTCCGCCAGTGATCTCCCCACCAACCTTTGTACCTCAAGGTCCCTTGGCCCCGACACCGGAAGCTCCTGTTACCTTTTATCCTCCCGCCGTCTCTACCTCTGTAGAGAAACTGGAGCCATCACCACCAATAACTGCCACTCATCGGGCTCCATTTGTAGCTGTGCCCCCAGTATCTGTGCCTTTCATGCCCCTGGCTCCACAAGCACCAATGGATCCAGCCCCAGGTCCTCCAGCATCTCAAATTCCTGGCTCACCTGTTCCAGTTGCACCATTACCTCCAGTCCAATTGCCAGTTGCTCAACCACCTCCACCTCAATTTTCCATGGCACCTGTAGCTACAGTGTCTGTGGTCTCTCAGCCAGAAGCTGTAGCTCCAACCCCTATTTCTGGTCGCACAGGAATCTTGCTTGATGCTCGACGGCGAACAAGTGGCAAACCCAAACCTATGTTCAATGTTCCAGAGATCAAGAAGAACTCCCCCAATCCTGAGCTATTGTCTATGGTGCAGAACCTAGATGACAGGTCCACCCGACACAAACATGGCCAACCACTGTCTGAGGGCATCTATGATGATGCAGAGGAAGAGAGGGGTGGTGAGGCTGGCATGGGGAGGGTGCCTCCCCCAGTGGCACCCAAGCCTCGAATCATCCACGAGACCCCACGGATTCTTCAAGCAGGGGGTAAGGGGGCCGAGCTGTTTGCCCGCAGGCAGACCCGCATGGGAATGTATGTAGTGGACACCCCACCCGAGACCCCTTACCAGCAGGAAGTGACTTCACAGAGTGCACCCCAACACCTTGACTCCTCCCCCAATCCTTTCCATCTCTCTCAGTGGAAATACTCCCCAAATGTCCGAGCTCCTCCACCCATTGGGTACAACCCCCTCCTGGCCCCCTCAATCCCTACTGGGCCGCAGAAGAATACAGGTGAGAAACGAGAAAGCAGAGGTAGAGGAGGCCCCCAAAGAGAGGGTATCAAAGCTCTGGATTTCATGAGAAGGCAGCCCTACCAGCTCAACTCTGCCATGTTCAACTATGGGGGTAGTGTCACTAATCTGTCAGCCATGCCTTCCTATCAGGCTCAGAGGCAGCAGCAGGGTGACTACATATCAGCAACAATGGTGGGCAGCTCACTGACCCCACCGAAGCAAATCCCCCTTAAAACAGCCCGTGTCTTTGAGGTCAAGCGATTCTCCACACCCACACCCATGTCAGCTCCCACTCTGTCTCCAAAGGTCATTGCACCCCGTTCGGCCACCACCCTCGGAGAACGTTTGACTCATTCCGGCATGATCTCCCCACCTCCTGCTCCTGTACCTTTCACTCCAACCCCAGCACCAGCCAGTGCCCCAATGCCAGCTTCACCTCCCTCCCAACCAGCTGGACTGCCCGGCCTCCCAGTATTCTCTGCCACCCCTATTCCACATCCTGTGCCCCCTTCAGTCCCTACACCTTACACTCCAGTATCGTACACCACTGGGCTCCAGTCAGCCAAGCAGTTCCAGAGTGCTCCTGAGCTCAGTATCCTGGCGTCTTTGCCCCCAGTTAAGTCCAATGCAATTCAGGCGCCCAAACCACGTTTTGTTGCCACCAAGGGAGGTGTCCAGCCCCGTGTGTGGAGGCCAGGGGCAATGTGAACACCAGCATCCACCACATTTGGACATTTTGTTGTACTATTCATTTAGAAATGAAATGAATGAATCAGCCAACTCTGTTAATTGATCCATTGTTTAAGTCAAAAATGCTTCTTCATTGTTGGTAATTAAATATCTTTGGGTGTTGGGTGGGGCTTAGGCTTTAAGAAATTATGATGGGCAACTCTCTAATTAATTCATTGATTAATTAAAAAAAAAAAAGATGACAAATTAACATAAGGGGCCCTGCAGCCATTCAAGGTCTAGTGTGTAGGATTTAGTGGCATCTAGTGGTGAGGTTGCAGAACTGAATCTTCTCCCATGTACTATGGCGGGTGACACAAAAGCACAAATGGCCCGATCTACAGCCAGTGTTTGGTTTGTGTTTGGTTTGGGCTACTAGAAACAACATGGCCGACTCCTTGGAAGAGGACCAGCTTTGTATTCAGACACAAACGGGTCATTCTAAGGTAATAAAACACAGGTGATTATACACCAAGTATTGTATCAATTTCTGCCAGTATATCCCCCAAAATCCTTCACACTGGACCTTTAATTTAAACCCTAAATACAACTGTAAACATAAAATGATGAAGTGATTCAGTATAGAGTTTGAAATCCAAAAGCCAGTCAAGTTTTTGAAATATGTTAGAACTTAAATATTGCAAATAGATTGTTAACATCTACTTGCTGTTCAAAATGCTGCTTATCACATTTATTTTTCTGCCAACACATTTACTCACACATGTATCTGAGTGACAATAACAATAGAGTATACTAGCACATACTGTATGCTGTATAGTCCACCATACGCCTGTCCTGGGGGAGGTTTGTGTAAGGCTTCTGGAGATCTCTTTCTACTAATTTAGCAGAAATACCATCTAAACAGAGCCTGTACTGAAATATTCTTTGAAACTTGAAATGTCTAAGAGATGCTGAAAATGAATCGTTGTGGTTCTGATCATATGACTAAATCACTGGAGAAATGTGTTGTAGTATGTTGACAGGTGGGGGATTATAAAGCAAGCTTATATCTTATCTATCTTTGAACATTTACTTCTGTTATTCAGTAGTTGTCTTACTACATGATGTGCTCCACATGCTTTTTTTTTTTACCCCTCTCTGTTTGTAGCATTGTCAAGAAGGAACCCATGATGACCTTGTCTCCTTGTCCCGGGGTTTAATTGATGCATGACCAGCTGAACATTGTAAGATGTTTTTAAATGCCTATGCTCACCTTGGAACTATATGTGAAGACAAGGCCTGCCTTTGCAAGTGTTAGCGAGGTTGTGCCAAATACCTCTGCTCACTATAGCCAAAAAGAAATGCTATCTTTTTTAGCATGGGTCACATTCAATAAGTGCCTGGGCTGTCACTGAATGTACACTTGTCACTGGATATCACAGCTTCTATTAGGCGCACCAGAGCCTCCTTAGTATCCGTGTGATCGTTGCAGACATATGTAATTTCTTAACTTTTATTAAACAAATAACACAGATGAAGGAATGTGTATTTCGTTTTGATTAATTGTGATTTAATCCGAAGTGGTGCGAGGGGAATTTGACTGATTTAGACGCACCCAAAATCCTAAAAGGATTCAAGAAATGAGAGCGGCTGTGGAGGAGGGATACAGGCAGTGTATACTGTAGGTAGGGCGGATGAATGGGTCAGAGCCCATCATTTGTGGGCTACTGGGATTTATGGTTGAATTGTACATAGTTATGCAATCCCACAGCCTGTAGAAGTTAATGGGGAATAGAAAGGAAAGTTTGATACCTGATGTTTACTGGTAAAGCTAAAGAAGCCGATGGAAAGAAGCACAAAGGTTTAGCTATTAAATAGCACAGTTGTTGCTATAAAAAAGTAACGATAAACATTTAACGGCTATAAACCTTGAGAGACCATAGGTAAGAAGTAAAGAGACAAAGAAATGAATGTGTCGTTTTCAGATGTGGAGTTCTTGGGGAGATACTTTTTTTTTTTTTTTTTTTTACCATTTTTAAAATAAAATATCTCTTAAAGCTTTGTCTTGTTTTCATAATATTATGGCTACAAAAAATATAGAGTGTGAATATAGATATGCTGAGGTGTAAAATATGATAAATGTTTCTGAATGTAGTTTGATCAAATAAAATATGTTAAAATGTTTGTTATTGCTGCTGAGTAGAAGTTTATACTGACTAGAAGACAAGGCATTTTTAGAGAAATAAAATCAGATTTGAAAGCTCTCCAGTTGTCTGTCATGTCTGATTTTACACTGCCCCCTGTTGCTGACTGTGTGACCATGCTCTTTTCGTTCATACACAGTACATGCAAATATTAACAGCCTGTTTTATGAGAAAAAACACAAATGCACACGCACAGTAAGTATTCAAGGCTTATTTGGAATTTCTGTTTACCATAACATATCAAGACCATCTGCACATGAACAAATATACTATAAGTCAGTCTGTAGCTGTGAAGATATTTGACTTAAATTAATTGCAACTTCCAAGCCAGATCATGAGTTTATACATTTTGTGGGTTGTTTGATGAAGGAAGAAAGCTATTGTTAGTTTTTATTATTATTATCATTATTATTAATTATTATTATTTCTTTTATTTGCACACACATACAACTGCATAAAATCTGAATAGTAAAAAAGAAAAAGTAATAAATGTGTCAGGTACCTTGGTCTAGAAGCCACAAGCCTATACAAAAAGACCTCCCCTCAACTTAAGGAGAAAAACAGAAAATTACAGAAAGAAAGGAGAAAAGCAGACAAAAGAACTAAACAAAAATATAACATAAGATAAATGACATCAGGAAGCACACTGAGCTGTAAGTGCAAAATAAACCAATAAAGTAATCACAAATTCCAAGAAATACAAAGGACACAAGGCAAGAAAGAAAGAAAGAAAGAAAGAAAGAGGGGGAAATATATTTATATTATTATTATTATTATTATTATTACATAGTATTATTATATAATACATTATCATTATATTATAATATACTTATATTAAAGTGAAGAAATAATTAGACATCATGAATTAAACGTAGTAATAATTTAAGGGATTACTGGCCATGTTTCAATTTCTCAGAGGGAAGGTGGACCTGATTAACCTGTCTAGTATCATATGAATGAATTTGGGAATTAAGTTTAAAGAAATTGCGAAACAATGATGGTAGAGACGAAGGTATGAACATGTATTTATATTTGTGCATTTGAACCTCTCTTAAAATCAAAAATATGGTAAGAATATAGATTTACATACAAACACACACATCTGATGAATATTTATATCATACTGAACCAAGGTTCGTTGTCGGTGAAGATTCTCAGTCATCTAGGTCATGTTAATCGTAAGTGCTTTATTGTAGGCAACTGGGCTTGCTTGCGTTCCTTGAAGACGTTTCGCCTCTCGCCTTTTGGTTTCAGTTAAAAAACTGAAATTACTTCTGCACTCTGTGCCTGCTGCATAAAGTGTCTGACTTACTAAAGAAACTTAACCCTCTAGACTAGCCTGGTCAGGCTCATTTTTAGGGTTGGTTTGAGTATGTCATTCAAAAGGAGGATACGACATAAATTGAGCTGTATTTCATCATAAGGAGGCTGTTGTGTGAGAAATAAACTAATTACGTGGCAAGAGTCCTTTTTGGTACTTGAAGAATGTTGTCAGTATCATGTTTGATCTTACACATACACGATTTTCAGCAGTGAGGAGGCAGATAAAATCACAATATATGCAACGTTAACATTGTGATTGATAAATGCATGATGATAACATTAGAGAAAGTGAATTACAACAAGCTGAGCTAACTTCTACGGGTAAATGAAGCACATGAGTGCAAGCAATTCCCAGTTTTGCCACTAGAGGGTGCCAGGTTGAAAGCTATTTTTAAAGGGGAGCCAAAGAGAGGGAGGCGGAGATTTATTAAAAGAAAACAAAAACATAATCAGACCTCCATCATGTCTTGAGTAGAATGGATGCCCCACTCACCTCTGTATATAGATGGGTATTCAAATCCAGGCTGTTTTGTCCCCAGCAGACGTGGAGGGGTCTGAGGTGAAGCATCTGCAGAGCAAACAGACAAAATGCAATTTCAGGAGAGTGTCAACACATCATGAACTGACTCCTATTCCACACACTGAGTCACAAGGAGGTGACAAGGTAGTTGGAGCCTCTCCTGTTCACTGACAAATCACATAATCAAAACATCAAATCCTTTTCTGCCCTTTTCACTTTTTAGAAATTTCTGCATATGGCATAAAACATGAACATCAGAGCTCAAGCAAAGGTGCGTGCACATAGACTTATGGCACTGCTGCAAATTCTGGTTCATTTTTTAAATAGCTTTGTTTTAAGGTACATGTGTAATCACTGAAGTCATGTGTATCAGATTAACTTTGCCTCAAATGTCAACTTAATGTGTTGGAAACATTTGCCACTGAGCGGTGCTGTGGAGCCATCTCTGACTGAGCGTGCAGTCCAAAGGGCATTTTGTTGCCAACCTCCACACTCCCAGGGTGCCTATATATAGGGCTGTTAATATCTAAACATATGACTATTAATAGAGAAAATGACATTTTGCCAGTTCACTACTGTAATTAAGAATATGGTCTTAATTTAACTGATTTAAAAGATCAAATAAAAATAAATAAAACAGGGTTGTCAGCTTCTGCAGTCTTTCTATTTCAAGATGTATTAAAAACCCTATGCACAGTAGTCTCAAAGGTATTTATGTATGAATCAGATTATCATTTCTAGTAACAGAAGCAGAAGTACAGTTAGATAATACAGATAATTTATCAGATGACCCAATTCCTCACATCTTCTGATGCTGCTTCAACCCTTAATGTCTCCCTCTTTCTCTTTATTATAATGTTTGGTCAGCACTTTATTCGCCAATGAATTATTTGCCCCAGGGATCTTCTGAATATTTCCATGTGTCTTACAGGACACTGAAGCTTGTGGAGGATATGTAGAAACAGGAAAATTAAACTGAAACAAAAAAGAGATGAATGTATGTGAGTATACAGAACTGATTTGAGGGAGGACACAGACAGTGTGTGTTTCACCAGAGCCACCATGCAGGGACTCGGACAACAAAAGATGGATTGCCTTTTTGCTTTATATAAGACTACATAAGACTGGAAATCTTTCAGTTGCAACATGTATAAGCTGAGTGTGTGATCTGTGTGTATGAAGTAAACATACAGCAGATAGAAAACGTTTTCTAGAATGTGGATAAAATAAAGAGTTCACAGATGGGTCTGAAGTTTCTGAGGGGTTAAGACCTGTTATTGTGAGAGGATGGCTGGACAAGAAGATGCTTAGAAAAGGCAGAACTGAGCCAAATGTAAGTGAAATATTTAATGCAGAGATGCCTGGCTGCAAAACATACCACTTTCCTGTTAAGAACTAAACCATGAGTTAGACAGATCCATAGATAAACTGTAGATCAGCAGGTTGAATTTGCATTTAAACAGAAGAACTACACTTAAAAGTTGTCAGGAAGAAACACTCACAACAACAAAAGCTGCACAGGAGCTGGTACTCTTTCTACTTTCCTTTCACAAGCACAAAGCAGACCAACTTTCAGAGAAACTTTCTGAGCCTTTAGAGTCCGAAATTTAGGCTGTACACCCATAAAAACCTGATTATTGTAGCGCTCCAGGATTATGTTGCATGCATTTTTAACTGGTGATCATGTTCTCACAAGTATGAGGATGCATATTCTTAAACTTCACTATTTTAAGACAAAGAAATGAAACAAAAAGGAATCGATATAGTATTTTTCCGCCAGTATTGTATATCCTAGCATTATGAAGGAGGCGTGAAACAATGATTAGAGTCTAAATGACCACATTTTAGAGCAATTTTCATGCATGGATGGATTACCCAGCAGGCCTACCAGGCACAGGCCCAGGGACCCAAACTCTCACGCCCCCTCTGGCCTTCACCTGCAAAATGTCACTCAAACTAACTCACACCAACCAGAGGGCGACTCAAAATGACCACAAAGAGATGCAAAGGAACTGCAAAGATATACTAAAAAAGGGCAAAACAACCACAAAGAGACACAAAATGACCAAACACCATTCACAAACATCTTGCTCCTAGGGAGGATAGGTGCTGGGGCCTTTTGCATATCTCACTGCCTCATAAGCCTCCCATCTCATCATGTCTAAAACATGCTATTTTTGGGAGCTAGTTAAATTTTTCTTTATATTTGGGAAGATTTTGGACTCACTGCAGTAATCCTAAAACCTTGGTTAGCTCCCAGAACTCATGCATTCATGTTGCAGTTCTTGAAAAGCTCTTCAAATGAACAAAACCACAAAGGACACTGCAGGACAAGACAGGCATTGTCTCTAGTGATTATTGGCCTTCGGATCCTCTCCAGTATTGTGCATCTGTTTGCACAAGCTGTTCTGTTGTCATGCAAACATTGTTAGAGTATCTAACAGCTCTGTCTCCACGTGTCCATCATGTCCCGTCACATGACTGCTTCAGA